CTCAGTCTTATAAGATATCACACAGCGTTTTAGTATGATTTTCTTTGTTCCTGTCGAAATTTTCATGTTTCTTAATTCTTTCTTTAGCTTCTGAAAAACATATTTCGCATTCCAATGCTTCTTCAGATTTCTGTGCCACATTTTTCGTCGTCTGTTAAAAACACTTATCAGATATTTAGATTAATGTTCGTCCTTGGTTTTGGCGCCCCCTGTTCGTAGCTGAGGTCTCTACATTCTGTTTTCTTACAATTGATGTTTAATAAAAATGAAAATATGCTTCTTAGGATGATGAAGAAAACGCTGCTGCCAAAGAGTGCTCGGTACTCACTGAAAAAATGATTGATGGCAACAATACCTTGATCCCACAGTTTCAATCGTTATAAAAATACCTTGATCCCACAGTTTCATTTGTTATAAAAATATCTTGATCCCAAAGTTTCAATCGTTATAAAAAATACCTTCATCCCACAGTTTCATATGTTATAAAAATACTTTGATCCCACAGTCTCAATCGTTATAATAAAAACCTTGATCCCACAGTTTCAATTATTATATAATACTTTGATCCCACAGTTTCAATTGCTACAAAAATACCTTGATCCTACACTTTCAATTATTATATAATACTTGATCCCCTAGTTTCAATTGTTATAAAAATACTTTGATCCCAGTTTCAGTTGTTATAAAAATACTTGACCACACAGTTTCAATTGTTATAAAAAAAAACTTTGATCCCACAGTTTCAATTGCTAGAAAAATACCTTGATCCTACACTTTCAATTATTATATAATACTTAATCACCTAGTTTCAATTGTTATAAAAATACTTTGATCCCAGTTTCAGTTGTTATAAAAAAATACTTTGATTCCACAGTTTCAATTATTATATAATACTTTGATCCCACAGTTTCAATTGCTAGAAAAATACCTTGATCCCGCAGTTTCAATTGTTATAAAATACCTTGATCCCATAGTTTCAATTATTATATAATACTTTGATCCCACAGTCTCAATTGTTCTAAAAAATCTTTTGTTTACACTTAAAATCTTTTCTTGAGATTTTTTTATGAAGGCATCAAATAAATGAGAAACTAATAAAAAGATAATCAATTGTAGAGGCTACCTTTTTCCTTTTTTTTGTGGGGGTGTTCTTTTATTTTATGCTTTTATATGTATTTGCGTTTGCAGGTGCGCGCGTTCTGCTTTTTTTTGTGTGCGTACGTGTTTTTTGCGCGAGTTGAATGCTTGTCAGTTTTTACAGTGAGTTTGTGTGATGTATCTACGGGTTTGTATCTTGTCAACCTTTTTCAAAACTCACAAGAACAGAATTCCAATAACTTTCTTCACAATTCCTTGTTAACGATCCTCTCCGAAAAAATGGGCTTTGCGAGATAAACGAAGATTTACGACGAGACAAAAATCGATCTTTAACAACAAAATAGAAATATTTATTGGCATGAAGACCATTGTCCGAGTGTTTGTTGTTACAATTATGACACTTCGACCATCGAGACTCCCGGCCTTCATCAGGCGCTTATTGATCCGGGTAACCTTTAGATAATTTCGAACAGAACGCTTTATTTAAGCTACGGGAGCAGATTGTTCTCGTTCTACGTGCTTTGTCTAGGGATATCTCTCCTAATTCTACTTTAATACAGCTTAATTATTTCTTGTGCCATTTCTAGTGAAACCAACTCTTCACTACCTTCTTCTAGGATTGAACTCACGATCACTATACTACCAAATTCACTAACAAACGAGTAATAATTATAGCTAAGTTTTGGTAAAAAAAAAATGGAAACGAACAGAATGTTTCTACTTAAAATAAAAAGAGACAGATTAAATTTCTGGAACAAAAAAACGAGGAAAGAGGGTTTGGTGAATTTGATACTCACGGGATAGATTGAAAGCAAGTGAGATATAAGGAAAGAGCCAGAATCCTACCTAACAAACATTTTAATTGCTGTTGTTCTCAGGCCCACTCTGTTAGAGTACCAGAAATAGACAACCCTCAAACAAAAATATAAATATACGTTTTTTATAGTAACAATACCAACAATATATATTTATATGGAAAAATATCATCAATACATATTTATAGTAAAATTACTAACAATACATTTTTAAAGTAAAATGGTCAGCATTGGATTTATAATAGAATTACCAACAATACATTTCATAGTAAAAGGACCAATAATACATTTTATCTGTAGTTGAAGGCATATAATTGCGTTCAAAATATATTTAGTTGAAGCCATAAAATTGAGTTCTAAATATTTGGATTTCAGCATTAAATAACCCATAGGAGTTAACATGCCACTAAACAAAATCAACCAAGCAACAACCTAACAAGCTTGTGTAAATAGATAACAAGTATGGTGAAAAAACAACATTTACTAAGAAGCACAACAGAAATGAAGTTTAAAGAGACATGATCGCCTACGTACTGAAGGGATACGTCACATCAGAGAATTCAAATTCAAATATATATATATATATATATATATATATATATATATATATAATATTTTTGATTAAAATATGATTCCTTCGCTACATAAGAGTTCTCATGTTTCAATACGCTTGAAGATGAAACGGAACAAAACACCTCAATTCAACATAATTTTAATAATTATTTAGATGGTTTTTCGGCTCTCGTTTTTTGAAACATGAGAACTCTTATGTAGCGAAGGAATCATATTTTAAACAAAAATATTATAATATAAGCTCTACTTCTGTATGGAGCACTGTCTTCTTAAAAATAAAAACAAAAATACTAAGGAACCCCGGATTATGCACCCAACGTGTTCTTTTCTATTTTCTGCATACCTGCGCACTTATATAAATTCCGTAAATTCCACTCAAGCAGTTTCTTTCGGCGAACCACTGCCCAATCGATTCCTAACAAGTTGTTTCCACGATCACTACAATCTTAACTTGTTCAAGTCTAGGGTTAACCGTTATCTTCCACTTTTATACACAAAAATGGCCTCTAAACGTAACACTCTAATTCGTGTGGCCCCCGGGCCTTGTAAACGGTGAACTGCGTTGTAAATAAAAATGATATTGGATTCTTTATCCACTTGGAACAACTTCGCTGTGTTCTCTCACGACAAACTAACGGACCAGCTTGACTGTGACACTGCATCTCAAGCGACAGCTTCTTACTGGTACCTCTGACCATTCTACCTTGACGTCCGGCTTGCCAATCGCCATTGGTCGGCTTCTTTCTTTAACCATGACTCAGCCTATATGAGCCCTTGATCGGACTTCTCTACGTTACGGTCAATCTCCACAGTTTTCATTTATTTATTTATTTGGCTCTATCACTGAATTACAGTTAGTGTCTTTGAAGCTATCGCATGTCGATTTTATTGTCGATTGACATAAAATACCAATGCTTCAGGTGCATATAAAACACTTTACAACCCACTTGACGATGTGGAAGTTCAAAGCCAATCAAGCGGGGACCCATTGTGTAACAACTGTTTCGAAAATTGGAAGAATAGTTAAAATAAGTAGGTAACAAATACTTTGAAGTTGACTAAGGCGCCATTACTGAATCTGGGTGAATGTAAATAGACATTTGTTTCATGCCTTCTTGAAATCTATTAAACTGTTATTGAGTTGATTTGTAAATAGCGAGAGAGAGAGAGGGGGGAGAGAGATGGGGTGACTAAGCTATTACGAATCCTCTACGGCTGACTAACGAGTAGCAGATAAAAAGAAGAAAAATCTTTTGAAGGAAGGAAAAATGAATTGAAGTGTGACATGCACACTGGTTTCCCCTTGTCTTGCTTTCAGAAAATATCAGTCAGACACGTGGGCGAATTAACGTATCCTGAAACTCTTCCTTATTTCCCTTCCCTCACCCTGCCCCTCTGCCGACAGCGGCAATTTCCTGTGATTTTTCATCTGCAATCGTCATTTCCTTCCTTCCTAATTTCCTTCCTTCTTTCCTTTCTTCGTTCCTTTCGATTTAAAATCTTCATTTTCCGTCTGATTTTCTTCTTTACTTCAATTTTTCCATTGCGTTTTCCTTTCATTTTCTTAATCATTTTTTTATATTTTGATTTGGCTACTCACCTTCTTTTCTTCCTCTAAATCTTTATTTATTCCTTTCTTCCTTCCTTCCTTTCTTCCAATTATTATTACTTAAGCAACTCCGTCCGTATCTATCTATCTATCTATCTATCTATCTATCTAATACTAATCTACCTTCACACTAACCACAATCTGTTCATATTTATCTATATATCAATCGAACTACGTATGGTAGGTAACTGCAAGAGAAAGTAAAATATATATTCTCCCTATCTATCTATCTATCTATCTATCTACCTACCTACCTACCTATCTCTTCATATCTATCTATCTATCTATCTATCTATCTATCTATCTATCTATCTATCTATCTATCTCATCTATTTATCTATCTCTGCATACTTATCTAGCTGGATAGGTATATATATATATATATATATATATATATATATATATATATATATATTTCTGGTGACATATATTTACTTATCTAACTATATCTATCTATCTATCCAGTCTTTTCGCATCTGTCTCTCTCATTCTATTCATATATATCTCGCTGGATATGTATATTCATATCTATCGATCTATCTATTTCTATTCATATCTATTTACTTATTTATCTCTATTCATATCTATTTATCTTTCCAGTCTTTTCTCATCTTTCTATCTCAATCTATTCATATCTACCTAGCTGGATATGTATATTCATATCTATTTATCTATTTACTTATCTAACTAACTATTCATATTTATCTATCTATCTGCCTGTCTATCTATCTATATCTATGTCTATATATATATATATATATATATATATATATATATATATATATATATATATATATCCATTCTTTTTCGCATCAATCTATCTATCTCAATCTATTCATATCTATCTAGTTGGAGAAGTATATTCTTATCTATCTATCTATTTTCTTATCTATCCAACTCTATTC